AGCATGTGTTAACATGTGCGTGTAAAGGTGGAGCGTTTGGAGTGTTTTTTTGCTCATAACACTGTGCTTGCTATGCTGCAGTGGTTTGCAGTGCTTGTTTGGTAGAGAGGAAGCAAATTTTTGGACTTTTTCTGAGATATAAACAGTTTCTCATTTGTGAAATAATTCAACTCCCCTTAAAGGATTGGATTTAAATGTACTGCAATTGTATTAATTACTTTTTGGGATTTTATTTTATCCTAAATTCAAACAGTGAAAGCATTTGGTTGCTTACCTCATTAAAAGGTGTAGATCATTTATAGTTGATACATTTAAAACGTTTTAAAGAAGCATTTCAGCAACATTTCTTGAGAAATATGTTTCCAGTAGATTGATGTCTTCCAATATAATTACACAGACTTTAAGAGTAGTACGTTTTCAGATTTATGTGCACCATAATAAATGAGAATAAAATTCCAATTTATGGACACTGTGTTTGCTTGAAGGATGTAGTTAAAGTCTGTTTCCATTTCTACTTAGAAGTTTTAATGTCCAAGTTCCAACTGGATAAATACAAGACTGGTCATCTGTTGCTGAAGTGCCATCACCATTCAGCCTTTCTGTTTTTTGTTGTTGTTTTTTTTTGCCAAAAAGCTTTCTCTCTCTTTTTGGGATGCTTGGAGGAACCACAGACAGCTCTCAAACATTTAGAAAACAAAACCATCTTTTAAAAACCTTTAATGTCTACTTGTTTCCTATGACTTCATTTTTAAATACCTGATCGGTGCTGATGTGGCTATCCTTAGCTTTTCTTTCTACATAAACTTTAAAAAGAAGATTGGTATAAATACTTTTTATGGTAAGTTGACAAAGTAGAAAAAAAAACTAAATCGGATTTTTGAGATCCTGACTAGCTGGTCATCCATCAAGGCCAGGAATATTTCTTTTTGCTCTGCTACAAAACCTTTATTGCATCTCTGAAGTGTTTTTTTTTTTTTTTTATCTCTGTATATATTTAACTCTGTATCATATAACCTGTTTTAGTGTTAGTTGCTTATAGTACAGGTAGTTGGCCTGTTAGTGAGCCAGTGTATTAGTTAGTTTTTGTTTATACTTATAAAACTAGGACTAGGTCACATTTTTATGTCAAAGTTGTATTATTATTTGAATAATCTTTTCAAACTCTAGATTTACAACAACTTTACACTAATAAAGTACAACACTCCTTAACACAGTTAATCAGTTTTTTTATGACCAAAAATACAAAAAAATGAATGGCCTTCTAGCCTCTCATCTTTTTATTTTATTTTTACTTCAGCAACAGTTTGAGAACCATTGCTCTGGAGTAGATTATTGTTTCCTATAAGCAGGCTTTTAGTGCATGCCCAACCTTTGGCCTTATTTCCCAGAATTCACCTGCAAATGGATAAGTATGGAAGAGGATTAGGGCCACTGAAAAAATTAAAAAAGTTAACTGATTTTTACATTTCAGTTTAATGTGGGGAAAAAAGTCAGAATGCTGAGATTAAAATCAGACTTCTGCGAAAAAAAAGTCAGAATTCTGAGATTAAAGTCAGAATTCTGAGAAAAAGTCAGAATTCTAAAAAAAACTCAGAATTCTGAGATTAAAGTCAGAATTCTGAGATTAAAGTCAGAATTTTGAGATTAAAGTCAGAATTCTGAGAAAAAAGTCAGAATTCTAAAAAAAAAATCCGAACTCTGAGATAAAAGTCAGGATTCTGAAAAAAGTCAGAATTTTGAGATTAAACTCAGAATTTCTGAGAAAAAAAGTCAGAATTCTGAGATTAAAGTCAGAATTCTGAGGAAAAAAGTCAGAATAATTTTTGTGTATTTAATTTTAAAATTTTTTCAGTGGCCCGAATCGTCTTCCGTAGATAAGATAAACAGTAGGAAGAAAAAAATGAAAGAAGGAAGCCCTGGGCAGGTTTACTACCGTACTAGAAAGATGGGAGAAAAGACAAGGGGTTGTATTTGGAGGAGGGGACAGAAAGTGAGAGAGAGAGAGCAGAGAGTGTACAGTGGCATGGGGGAGGTGAACACTCAGCACTCCTCTGTTACTGTCTCAGCAGAGGAGCTGTGTGTTTGTCAGTGTGGGCCAGTGTACTCTATCTACTCCTTTACACACCCTCCAAGACTCAGGGGAGGCTTATGGAAATTTAACCGGGAGGGGAGCGGCAGCAGCTGAGGAGGAGGAGGAACTTAGCTGAGTCAGTGCAGAAGAGAAGAGGGAGCGTCAGCAGCATGTGTTGTAGCATGTTCCAGTCTCACTGTCTGCCCCTCATCAAAACACAAAGTCCTGCAGAGGCTGCCTGTGCTCTGAGCAGGAGCACTGTAGAGTCACCTTCAGCACGGAGAGGCGCACTGCTGGGTAAGTGCGGCACTCACATGCACACAGTGGGAGGAAACTCCACTTTTCTTCCTAACTGGAGTCATGTGTGGACCATTCAAGTTTTTGCAAGCACATGATACGATGGATTAACATGATGTGCTGCTGTGCAAAGGTTTCCAGGCAACCTCAGCCTGCTTTCTAGTTTGTTCCTGCAGGGTAATTAATAGCAGCAGCCCATCTTTCTGGCGTTGAAGCCAATTGATAGAAAGGACTTTGGTTTTCCACTTAACTGACCCATATGTTGACCTTTAAAGGTCCAGTATCATTGTGAATGATTGTTGACTGTAAACATCTTGAATGTCCTTTTCACACAGGCCTGTGATTACTGTGTGCAAGTAAAGAAAAATGTCTTTTATTAATCTGATTATGCAACCATGATACAGAAAATAGAACCAGCAGTGAGATCACAGCCGTTTACAGTGACATCCCTGCAGCAGGTCTTTTAGATTCATTTCCTTTTGTTTTGTTTTGGCATTTTTGGTTTATATTTTATGCTCTTGCATTATTGCTGCAAGGCATCCTTGCTTTTGTTTCGAAAATATGTAAAAACAAAAGTATATAGGAGTCTTAAAAGGTTTTAAATAAGCTTTTTGCATCTAGGTAAAAGGTTTTACATGGTACTTTTACTCTGTGCTGTATGTGTCAAACATAATAAGCTCTCTGTTGCGCTGGCAAAGCTCAGGCTTCTGACTTTTACACCTTATTTGTTATTCTGATTCCAGCATGTTCTTTCAATTAGTAAACCACTGTAATGTACAGGAGGCTGGTTGTCACATACTTTCCTGCATGTTTCAAAAGGAGGCTTGTTTTCTGCAGCTGTACCTGTTGAGGTTTTTCAGAAGTTTTCATGTTTCAACCACAAACCTCAATGCATTCATTGGGGACTTTTCTCCCCCAACACCAAAAGGTGCACATCTATGACGCATAGGAAAGGTGATAAGTGATTGTAACTGTTTTAACAAATAAATGATCATCTGAAACGTGCAGCAATGTGTTTGTATTAACTGCCCTTTAAAAGTCAGCTACTGTAAACGGCAAATGGGCTTCATTAGTTTGGTCTTAAAACACCTTACTGTGGGGACATTTGTTGTGGGTTTATCATGCTGTGTTTTTTTTATTTTTTTTTTCTTTGCTTTGCTTTAGTCTATGCAAGGAAAGGGGTTTGAGTTGATAGGAATGTTTATTGTGCAAGATTCATAGTCATTGACAACTGTAAACAAACAGCCAGGACTACAACTGATTTGCACAGCCTTTATTTTACAGTGGCCTAGACAAAGCCTAAATTTAGCTCTAATTAAGAACCTGTTTGTTAAATGAATGATTTAATGTTGGTAGAAGCTAAAATAAAAATCTGGTACTTTTACCCTTCCCTAACACAGTTTTGCATTATTTTTTGTTGGTTAATCACATAAAACATCACTAAGATACCTTTTAGTTCAGGTTTTAGTGTGACTAAATTTAGAAAAGTTCAAAGTGTTTAAACAGGATTGCAGGTAATGACTAAACTGATGCAGCAGAAACACGTCATACCCTAATATTGTATGAATAGAGTTTTCCGTGCTCCATTAACTGAGCAGCGCCATGAGGGAGAAATTCCACTGAATTATGACTTGACAGTTGACCGTTTGCCTGCTATGAGGGCGACGTTGCTGCAACACGATGCCACTGCCAAGTGTTGTTTTGTGTGCTTGTCTGTGGGCGGGACTGTTTCCCAGTCCTACCAATGGGACTCATGATAAAATTACAGATTTATGCTTTTAGATGTTTCAAGGGTGGAGTTTTAAGCTTATAAAACCAAAATGACATAATGCTGTCTCTATTAACTTCTTTGTAATGATTATACCAAATGCTTATTATGCTGTGCACCATCTGGAAATGGATTTCATGTCTGTACTTGTTCACTTGGTAAATCATTTTCCGAGCCCTAACAAAAGAAAATATAGGATAAACTTCCTTCGATGTGTTTAAAGTGAACAGCTGTTAAATCTTGTAATCACACAACTTGTATAATAAGTTTATTGCTCGTAAGGCGCAAGAGCAGGGAATAGCATGAACAAAGCCTCAGAGGTAAAGTCTAAGGCAGTTAGCCCAGAATTTAGACTTTGAAGCTGCAAGCTTTTGGAGTTGCGATTGATCTAAATCTGTTCGTCTCTACGTTGGTCTCTGTCTGAACCGTGTATTACCAGCTGCCTTCCTTCTAAAGCTGGAACTTTGTTTTTGAATCTGCATGCAAATAAGATATTTAATGCTCCTAGTCAGGACTGAACACAGCAGATAAGCATCAAACATGTTCAGAGGAGTTAATGTTCTTCTAGGCTGTTATCAAAAAGGCTGATTGCAGTACACAAGGTATAAACAGTTGACACTGGGCCAATATATGTCTGTAACTGTATCAGAAAAGCAGGCCAAACAGGTGTTAGGTGATAGGACAGACTCCAGACTCTCTGCTGCACCAGCTGTTTATGTAATGGTTAAACACATGGGCGGAGCTTTTTCATTTGTTGCTCCTGAGAATTAATCTCTGGTTGTTTTCGTGGTTTTCCTCCAACATGCTCACGCTTGTTCGACTACATACTGAGCTTGCTAACACGATCTCTTCACTGTCCGACAGACTGATGCAGAGAGTCTTAGCGGGAGGGAGAACCAGGCACTGCTGACCGAAGCCTCCACCTGCCGACCCAGCCTTCTGTCTCAATCAGTCCTCCCAGAGGTCCCAGTCATCACTGGAGTGGAGGAAGACAGAGGAGCTGTGAGCGAGGAGGACAAGGAGGAGCTGGAGTTTCCTCATGATCTGCTCCCCAGTTTGGATTTCAGCAGTGAACTGAACATCTGGGAGTCCTCACTGGGGTATGTAGAAATGTCCTCTAGGTTACAGCTGTTATTTTCACCTAAGAGGAAATTACAGTTATTATAGATCTTAAACTAACAAAAATGTCCAATTAAACCTACTTTAACACACTTATTTCTTTATGGGCAAAAAATATATCCCATATCAATGAGATCAGGTTTTACTGGGAAGAAAAATCTAGACTCGTTTTTTTAAATTAAGTTAGGTATTTTGTTTTTGTGTCTGTTCGGATTTTCAGGGGAGAAATAATTAAACAAACTTATTCCTCTGATAAAATGAAATGAGTTAAAAAACAAGCATTACTTTATCACCTATAAGGTTGAATATTACTCTGTTTCAGATAACATTTGGTCCCACTCCAAATAAGTGTAAAATATACTCTACAGCCAGTGCCAGATTTTTTTCAGAGTTAATTTTACTCGTTGTTGTAAAAATAAAAAAAGACCTCTCAGAGAATGACGGGCAATTGATACCATGCAGAGTAAAAGTGACAGCGCATGTCTGTCAAATTTTACACAGATTATTAACTCCAACACATGAGCTGATTTACACTCGGTATAGTTGTAAATACTCCACCTAGAGTTAAATAGGTTAACTCTGAATTTTCAACACCTTTTATTCTGTGAAACAAGGCTTTGCAGGGCTTTAAACCTTGTTCTAAGTTCCTTTGTGATCTCATGGATGTATTGTTTATTTACTCTTGGTGCAATTTTGAAAATGTTGAAGGTTAAATTGTGTTGTGTGTTTTCCTTTATTCGCACATAATTGCTCAGGCCATTGTTGGCTGACGTCTCAGCACCCAAACATGGCTTTGTAACCGTAGTACACCATAGTGATTATTGTTGGTGACTTTATTCCCCATTTTGAATTTCTATAGATATACATCTTTCCCCTACTTCATGTTGTCAGACAGCTCCTGTAGGAAGATCTGGATTAGCTTGTAATCTTTTTCAGGCCAGTATGCTGTTAAGAAAGGGCTGTTTTGTTATTCAATGGGGAATGAGTGTGTTTTTATAGAGACAGGTTGATTTGCATATTTTTTCCCGAACCACATAAAATCATAGTTTTCTTTTTGTGTTTATTCCAGCTGCACTTGTTTAAAGTAAAATAAAGAAAGGACTGAATATAAGACTTTATTATGAAAAAACTAAATTGAAAAATCCCATAGCTTGTCTGTTTGTGAATTCTGACCTGATAAACTGCAGCACATCTGAGACGATCAGGTTCTAGATGGAAATCAGAAGATCTGGAGGATTTGCTATTATGGTACTATGCCTATACAGAAATAAAAACATATAAAAAGAAGGCAACATGTTCACAAATATAGGTTGTTCTTTACTTTACACTAATTAAATGAGATACAATCTGCCAGAATAATGGCTGCAACCTGCAACTTTCACCGCATTTATATGCATGGCTTGGATATCGGATATTGAACTCTGAAAACTCAGATGACTTTCCAACTTCTGTGAGTGTCTTCATATATCTGACTCAGCAACTTGGAAAAATCTTATTTCCTAGTATTAGAGGACACCACTAGTTTAACATAATGTATATTATGTAATAGTAGTTAGTATCTACACAAGATAAAAGTACTGATTAGGTGATATCTCCAAAAGTAGCTGCAAAAACTTCCAAAACAGGACTAAATCAAGCAAATCTTTGTTTTTTTCTATCAGGTTTATCTATTGTCCTGGATAGATATAAATATTAATACATAAATATACTATAGCTGTTAGGGTCGGCTGTCAGTACTTGGTAAAAACGCGCTTTATGCAGATACTGTTTAATTTTTTAAGTGCTTTCATTATGGTATCTGGACAGTTGTTGGTTATTAAGGAAAGAATTAATCAGAAAAATGTTGTTTGACCTGATTGACTGTGAAATGCATAAAAATATGAAGACGTTGTGAGCAAGACTTGGAAATGAGACCTTTTAAGGCCTGTTAAGGCTGGAAATGCTCCATATTAGATCATTCTATTTACCATTATAATATCTGCCTTGTTTAAAGATTGAGCTTCAAATCTGTTTAAATCTGTGAAAACACAAAATAAATTACATCAGTTTGTTTTTTTAAATAAGAAAACGTCCACAGATAGAGACAAACATGAAAATAGCAATACATATATCAGTAAAACCTGATTCGATTTCATTCTGATATTATAGAAACAATTACTCAGAAGAAAGGGTCTATCTTTTAGTTACACTAACTTGTCATTTTGGTCTCATTAGCTGCATGTTTTGTTGCACCCTTTATGTTTACACTTTTACCAAACAGTTGGTGAACTGACAAATGTACAGAGAAACAAAATACTGTTAATACTTTTACTGCTTGAGAAATGTCTATCTAAAAAGAAGCATGTTCAGTGAATTGTGATTGAAATATTTAATTACTGGCGCCAAATATTTACCAACATTTTATTGCTGGATATTAAATGCATTACTTTGTTGACATGGATGCATTGTTAGTAATACGGTAAAGCGTCGTTATTCAGTTGACATTAAATTTAGCTCCATAACTATCTGTGTGTGTCTCCATGTTATTTGTCAGCAGAGCTCATTCTAGCTCTGAAGGGAGAAAATGTGAACAGGTGAACCCCCTGCTGGTGGGCCTGCAGCATAACATGGATGTCGGTGGATCACTGCTGGTTTTAGATGGAAGGTACCACATGACTTTGGTCAGCTGTAAATGAGATCATGGAGTTAAAAATCATGCGCTTGGATTTGATTTAATATTTCTAACTCGTGCCTGATCGCCATGATGTTATTGCTGTGGTGCTGCCTGATTTCTGTGTGTAATGATTAAGTTCTTCATGATAAGGTGACTCATCTGCCATTAATTTTTGACTATGTTATGGCTTTGATATTAACTGACAGTCTCAAGCTGCACTACAAATCCTGTAATGCTGTAGTGGATAAATAAACAATTCAAACGGTAAAGAATATAATCCAGTTTTTTTTTTCTTACTCACTGGAGACTTATTAGTGTGAAAGATGAAGACATTTGCTTTGTTCTTTTTCCAGGCGTGGCAGAAATCATTTTCGCTCCTGTCTGCTGGAAACGCTAGAGTTTATTTACTGCTCCACCCTTTAGTACAAAGTGCCAAGAGAATTAGATGCAGGCTTGAATGACAGGTTTGTTAGTGAGCAGCATACTGAAGGAGAGGATGTGTTTGCAAGGTACAAGGATTGCAACCAGATGAAAGGAATAATAATTATCTTGTTTTGATGCAGACAGGGATTTTTGCATTTATAGGACTCCATCTTAAACTTAGTGCAAATTAAAGGCAAAGAAATGCCTTGGCTTCTGTGGATATGCATAAGGCGACTTGTTTTAAGAGCCGTTTTTATGGTTCCCAATGTTTTTATGTATAGAAATGAATATCAGATCAGTTGTTTTTAGTATCATGTTAAAAAAATTAAAGGAATATGTACATATTTAAATGTACCAGACATTTCAGAAAGATGAAACCCAAGCACAAAAAAAGAAAAGAAAATAGGCAAATAATTAAGACACAGCCTTGTAATTCTTGTTCTTCTAATTAAAAGTGATCCAGTGACTTGGGTAGGACATCTGCCTGACACAAAAGACCCTTACCTTTAAGATGTGATCTTTGAAGTCACTTCAAAAATAAAACTGTTGCTGAGTTCTCTTGAGAGCTTTAACAAGAAGATCACTCATTCAAAGTTAGATGATTAAGGCAATATTGATTGGATTTACTTATTTCAATTACACCATGACTTGAATTATGTGGTACATTTAGGACAAGTTCTTTAGGGTATTTAAACGGTTTACCTCCAGTGTTAGGTTGGCAAAAAGAAAAAGCTTTTTATCTTTTCTGACTAAATCCTTTTCTTCCATTTTTGTTTGTCCCCTGCTTTATGTGCAAAACTTAACACAGGACCTCCTATAGCTTTTTTCTTTAATAATACACTGTAAGACGTTAATTATAGAATTTCCATAAAAGGTGAAGGTAATTTACAGAATTAAAATCAGGACTTTATCCACTCTAAAATAGGAAAACGGATTGATAATTACGATACTTTATATAAAGTTATATTTGAGATATTAAAAGCTAATTTAGGACAATCTCCAGTTTTTTATTTGACAATTTTATCATTTGTTTATGCACTAAACAAAAGTATATGGTAGATCAGATTTAACTATTAAAATCTAATTAATTAGTTGGACAGCCATGTTGCTTTAGTCTGTAGTTTTGTAGATGAGACATACTCTTCCATTTTTGATGATGGATTGAAGCCCTGCCTGACATAGTAAAATGAGGGACATTGTATATCATTCTCAAATAATTGAAGTGAACAAAGTTTGATAATACAATAAAAACACTTCACCATAAGCAACTTGAGAGTTTTTATGATGTCTCTTAAAAAACATTCCAATCAGTAATGTATAACACTTTGCAGTATTCCCATGTATTTTAATATTTTGTTACATTTTAGTCAAATAATCCAAGTAGTTTAACTTGGATTTTATTTGATAAAAAGCTTTTAAGTGACTGTTCTCTCGCATAATTGATGTTTTAAAGCATTGTTAGGATCTTATCCTAGGGATTAGTGTAGTTAGCATTACTAAGGATTATCAGCAGGCTCTATGTATTTCCTATTAAACAGATAAAACAATGATATAACAGAAGCTTTGCTTGGACTTCTTAGCATCTGCTTCAGTGACACCCAGTCTTTAAATATGGAGGATTGAACGGAGGGGATTAAATGAATGAATGAATAAATATATATAGAACATAAATAGCTGTCCGTGTACCATGAAAATGAATGAATGTACCATAAAACAAACCAATATTAAGTAATAAAATAGTAATAAAGAAGTCGTCTTACTCAGTGGGCAGACTAATATTGCTAAAGTGTGAAGTCTGTAGCAAGTTCCTCCACACTGGACCGCTGGAGCTATCTTAAGAGTTATTGAAGTTATTTCAGACCAAATTAGTTTATATACTTGGCTGGAGTTGCTTAACTGGTTTGTAGATAAATCAAGTTCAACATGGTTTGATGTTATATCTACATTTTCCAAGGAAAATACAAACCTCAGTGTAAAAAGCAAACTAAGAAGAAATTGCCTGGAATTACTTTGTGAAGTAATTGATACATTAATACAGAGGAAAGTAATTTCAAGTCTATTTGCATTATTGAAAAAAAAACAGTTAATCATTTAATTTTCAATTATTTTAATTGTACATTTCATAATTTAACAATTACATATTTTAGTATTTTATGATATATTTGTACAATTAATTGTTAAATTAGAACTTTAATGATACATTTATTTATTTTGAGTTAAATTTCTGTATTTAATGATTTATTAAAACAACACTGCGTAACTTTTAGCCATTTCAGTGATGGATCTAACTTTCTCAAGTTACATGGGGTAGTTTTTGAGAAAGGCAGTGTGCATCAAGCATCAGTACACGCCAAGTGTTGTATATTGACCTTAAAAAAAAATCCTTTGATGTATCTCAAATCTTCCTAATACTAGAGACAAAACTTAGTGTTGCTTTAAATAGACAAATGGTACATTTCATGTTTTGATTTATTTCATGTTACATTGATATTTATTTCTTAATTCATTTATATAATTTTCTCCTTATAACTTCTACGATTAAGCAACAATCTAAATTAAATGTAGACATGTTTTAACATGAAGAAAAAACTAATTTCTTTCAAGTAGCTTGTTTCTTTCGTGTCCTTCCTCTGGCATTATTCTAAGAAAACAGTTCACTGTTCACTCAGCAACATCAGTCACACAGAAGAGTGTAATTAGTACTTCCTCTTTTAGGGTATTTTAGTTACCGATTAGTTGATCTCTGTTGATATTTGAAAAAAGAAAAGATATTGGTTAAAATTTTATTGTGCCATTCTGCCAGAAGCATGTCTGCATGAATCCACAACAAACACTGGCAACATTTTTACGGTTTAATAGGGGATTTCTGAGTGCAAATGAATGAACACTTTGAAACTATTGATGTTGCATCTTTAGCCTGGGAGGCAATAAGGTTATGTAAGAACTAATTTGATCAAATTAAAGATATTTTGTTGTGTTTCAGCCTGGTAAAAAAAAAAGGCTTGGTTTTTAGGTTTTTCCCAGAAATGACCATCCCAGGCATTTCGAAGGCAACCGGATTTTGTTTTTGCTGCGCATGGACTTGTGCTGTGTTAATAGCAGTGCTAGATGGCATCTTGGAATGAGCAGCTGTCTTTCTGTGTCGTCCTAACTGTGTCACCCTGCCCTCATCTCAGGCCTGATGGCATCCTGCCAGTAATCCCAGATGTCCAGGCTTCACTTCAGCTGGGACCCCTGACACCTTCCCTGACCAAGTTCTCTGACCAGGAACTCCAAATGGCCTTCCAAGAATGCGAAGAACAAATGGTGTCACTGGGAATGCTTGACTCTATAGAGTCTGACAAGACTCAGGATGTTGTAGGGAAGGCAACAGGGGAGGTTATGGTTAATGACTCTGGCAAGTCATTCTCGCCACTTCCAGTCGCAGTCCAGCCAGTGTATGGCAACGGGGGCCATGGAAACGAGAGTACACATGGAAATATTGAGGCAGCCAACAGTCAGATGGATACAGTTGTGTTTAGTTTTAGGGATTACATTCTAGGGACTGAGAATAACACAGAGAACATAGAAACAGAAATGGAAGTAGAAGCAAATCAGTGTCTGAAGAGATGTTCAGAGCTTGAAGTAGGAACGGGGATGAATGAACAGAAAGAATTATTAGTTACAAATAAAGAATCTCCAAAAGACCTGAGAGCCTTGGAGACCTTAAACAAAGATGTTTGTTTAAGTAGCACTACTGAGATAAATACCTCAAGAGATTCTTGCACAGAAATGAAAGAAGTCCCAGGTGGAAAAGTAGAAACGATAGCCTCATCGGAAAAAAATGCAAGTGATGAGATTGATATCAATGTTTGCAATGATGATCCTAACTCAGAATTATTATATTTAGCACCAACAGGAGCACAGAAAGAAACTGACAAGCAAAGTAAGGATAATCAGTCAAAGTCAAATTCAGAGAAGCAGGTTGGACAAAGCAAAGAATTTAAGAAAAAGAAACATAGGAAAAAGAAAAAGACAGAAAAAAGAGCCGAGAGGGAACAGAAAGCAAAAGCACAGGAGTCTGAAATTGAAACACAGACCCTGTCACCATTGGATGTTTGCACTTACACAGATTTAGCAGCAGTTTCTACACCAGTGTCAGAGCTAGACACTACGCCACTGACTTGTGGGGAACAGACTCATTATGAGCAGCAGCTGAGTCCTGGAGGAATGCTGAAGTCCTCCCCTCAAAGTAGTGTAGAAAATCTTAATATCACAGCTTGTTCATCAATCTCTATGCAGGCCCTTTCACAGAAGACCCATCAATCAGATAAGCCTGACAATTTGGATGCTGAAAATTTTATTAATCATAACACAAAATGTGATGAATGTGTAACCAAAGAAGAAAATGTCATCAATACAACACCAGAATCAAATCAAACTGCAGTTACTGGACATACTGATTCCAGTGAAAGAGAGTTGGATGGACAGATGCAGGAAGCTATAGTTACTACAGAAACAAAAATACTCACAGAGGAGGATCAGAGCCTATTCTCCAACAGCAGAACTTGTGTGGGAGACAGTTGCGT